AATGGGAAACCAATGGTGAAAAATTAGCTGATGGGGTTATAACCCTTCCTTACTCTATCCAAAATGGCGGGAGAGGGGAACAACTTTTGCCTATAGTTCTACTTTCAATGCAAATTTCTTTGCTGGTAGTTTAGAGGGTATTGCTGTTTTATAGTAAGGCTAGTTTCTAGTGGTTTGTTGAAAGTGACATTTCAGTTGTAAGCGGAGTTGGATGGCCTCTGTCCTCTTTGGTCGATATCCCTATAAAACTGTTGGCATCACCATTGTATGCCAACATCACGATGGCCATGTTCAGGTCGGATGATGTAAATAGGACTTTACTACCTCTGTATCTTTATGGCTTGACAGTATGATGGCTCTGCATTATAAAACTGCATTTTGCAGTGTTACCTGCATAGTATTAAAGTGTTCCTAAACCCAAGACCCTGCATTCACTATATCTGGTCTCCCACAGTACACAGAACATGGAAGTGCAATTATTTTAGTAAATATAAACTGCTAAATACCTTTTCTCATTAGCCGTTAGAGCAGTCTTTTGACTTCAGCAGAGCACTGGTTAAAGCTTGTAGGGGGAGTTTTCTTTCTGCTCTAGGAGGATGTAGAACCCCTGACCTCTGTCTGAACATTGCTGATTGGCCCTGTGCTGATCACATGCACTCTCCTAAGAAAAAAAAAAAACCTCTCTAGCAATACACACTAAACTGAGCATGTGCAGAAGGGCTACAGGTTCAGTCTGTCTCATCAGCGTGGACGTTTGAACAAGAGGAAGGGCAGAGAAGTCAGGATCAAACAGCCTTTTTACACAATGCAGAGGATTAATCTCTTAGCTTCCACAATGAGTATAACACACATGCTATACTGCATATACAGACTGATTTTACTGCTGTGGGTTTAGTAACACTTTGCTTCAGTAACTTTTATTGTTATTTAAAATAAACGAAACAATAGACACAGTAGTTACAGCATTAATTTTCCGATCAAGCATACTATATAGATCTGGGTACAGATAAGATTCAACAGAAATCCAGAGATGATGTACCATATATTTACTTAAAGGACATAACTGTGACCAATCAAAAGATTAAAAAATGTTCAACGTAACTATAACTGGGCCTCTGGTAACGGAATGCCCTGACAATTTAGAGATAATTCAGTGTGTGTATTATGCATATGACTACTGCCCATTTGATTCCATGTGTTTCTAGTGAGCTATCAGAAACTCACTTTTGAAAGAAGACACACAGGATCAACAATGATAGGAGAGGCAAATCAAATAGAGATACAGAAAAAGGGACAGCGATGGAAATGAAGTAGAAAAAAAGGAGGGGGGAGAGAGAGGAGGGGGGGGCGGTGTATGTGCATCCTCCAATTGCTATAATTAAGTTCCTTCAGCCAGGTCAGGAGGACCCAGAAGGATATGTTATGCATGGTTCCCAAGTTTTTTCAAAGTAGGCCAGTTTGTCATGCAGAATGGCCAACATTCATTCGTTAATCTATGTCAACTTGGCCTTTAGAAGTTTGAAGGGGACTGTAGGGGCTTTCCAGGTCCGTGGAAATGGATATTCTAGCTGCTGTGAAAATGAATGTGATCAGGCATCTCACCCATCCCGGTACCCCCTCCACCGACCGCCTCATTAGGGCCTGCTGCAGGGATTTCACCTGGGTGAGAGAATAAATGAAATCATATGTGTGGACCCAAAACTGTTTCACTTTAACTAGGGGTGCACCGAAATTTTGGTGACCGAAATGTTTTGACTGACAACACCCCTATCGGCCTTTGGCCGATATGAAAACGGTCACCCATACAGGTGCCAAAAATAGCGCCGTTGCCCGCCGGTTCTCTGCCTTACCTCAGAACCCATCCTGGTGCTGGGCAATAGAGATCAGTGAAGGAAAGATGGCCTCTACTCATCTCTGTGCCCTTGGAGGACCGGAGCGACGTCACTGTGTCGGTTCCGGTGCCTTGTAAACGAGGCCTTTTTTTTTTTTTTTTTTTTTTTTTTTAAAGCACTAGATATTTTTTTTTATCTAATGCTTTACATTGTAGAGGAGAGATGTGGGGTCTTATTGACTCCATATCTCTCCATAAAGAGGACCTGTCACTGCTTATTTCTATCACAAGGGATTGCATTCCTTGTGATGGGGAAAAAAAGTGATTTTAAAAAAAAAAAAAGTTTTAATTGGACAGTGTAAAATATTTTTTTTTTTTTAAATGAATTGTCCCCGTGCTCATGTGTAGTGGTGAATGCATACGTAGGCCACGCTCACAAATGTAAACAGTGTTCAAACCATACGTGAGGTATTGCTGCGCACAACAGAGCAAGAGCAATAATTCTAGCACTACAGACCTCTGTAACTTTAAACTGGTAACCTGTAGAAATTTTTAAAGCGTCACCTATGGAGATTTTTAAGTACCATAGTTTGGTGCCATTCCACGAGTGTGCGCAATTTTAAAGCATGACGTTGGATATTTATTGGCGTAACATCATCTTTTATATCTCTATTAAAAAATTGGGATATATTTTGGGGTTTTTTTAATAGTGTATTTTTTCCCCAAAAAATTGCGTTTGAAAAATCTATTAATTTTCAAAAACTGTTCATTTCGGTTTTCGGCTAAGTGCATCCTGAATTTTCGGTTTCGGCACCAGAATTTTCTCTTCGGTGTGCACCACTAACTTTAACACAAGTCCACCAGGTGTGAAGGACCGTTCCCTTCTGTCCGCAGCCATGGAAACAAAGGAAACCCCAAGGATAGAGAACACCAGAAGCACAGGTACCAAATACCACCTAAGAAAAGCTTTAGAATTGGCCTCAATCAATGAGGTATTAAAAGATTTAGAAGCACATAGAGATAATTTTTCCCATTTTGTTGCCTCCAGTGTTTCACCTAAATCTTGTTCCCTTCTTTCCATGTATGGTAATTTAGGTGTGTTGTCATGGAGTATTGTATATCTTAAATATATGGCCAGTATGTTTGTCGAAGCTTTACAAAGGTGTTCCATAGGGGTTGGGGATGTTACGTCGCTGGAGCGTTTCAGAGTGTTCAAGTGGTGTGCAATTTGACCGTAAATTGCTCTTGTGGGAAGTTAATGCTGTTTCTGCAAAGCTAACTGTGGTATTATTCCTCTGTTGTCACAGAAGTCTGCCAAGCGAATAAACCTTTTATTAGTCCACCACTCAAAAGTGGAAGGGCTGAGACCTGAAGGGAAAATTGGGTTGCCGAACAGAGGAGCCAGGGATTTGTGGGTGGATTTAAATCTGTATCGATTGGCTAATCTATGCCAGAGACCCATGGGAAAAGACAATGTCAGGCACATTGTAGTAGGCCTGTTTCTGGGTCTCAATCACATCAGGTGGCTAATTGATATAGATGGAGGAGGGAACATCAGCTGCATCCCTGCACCTGGAATGAAAACGGTCAACTCTGCCAGTCGTGCGACGTAAAAATATTTGGGCAGAGATGGAACTCCCAAGCCTCCCTTCAGTTCAGGGGTAAAAAGTGTACGTTTACTCTGGGTCTCTTGTCCGTTTGTCCGTCCGTCCCCCCCCCCCCCATATAAATTTTAACAACTTCCTTTGAAAGAGCCTGAGAGCTGTCATGTTAATTGATAAGGTAAGGTGCAAAACAGAGAATCCTGGGTAAAATGTTCATCTTTTTAGAGAACAGCCTACTGAACCATGAGGGAGGATTGGCAATCCACCTAGTGATATTGTCCTGTAATTTCTTATATAAGGGAGGGTACTTTTGGTAGTGTCTAGAGAGGGCGTTAAGTTTATCCCCAAGTAAGGGAGTGCTTCCGATTGCCATTTAAATGGGAAACTGTGTTGGAGAGATTGAACCATGTGAGCATCTAATGTTGGGTTAAGGGCCAAAGATTTCGAGTGGTTTACTGTCATGCCAGAGATTACCGTAAAATGTGTTAAGTCTCTGTACAGATTGGCAGAGATGTGATTGGAGAGGTAAGTAACATGAGGAGATCACCTGCAAATAAAGCACATTTATGCTTTCGGTCTTCACTTGGTATACCCCAAATATCAGGATTGTTTCTTAATTTGATCACAAGAGGTTCCAACGCTAGAATGAATAAAATAGGCAATAAGGGGCAGCCTTGTCGGGTACCTCCTATGTATGGCAATGTATTCTGAGCTATATCCCTTGACCGACAATCTGGCCACTGGTTCGCTATATAATGTTCGAAGAATAGAAAGGAAATTCTGACCAAACCCATATCGGTCTAAAGTGTGGAAAAGATATTCCCATGAAAGGAAGTCAAAGGCCTTATGAAGGTCAAGGGATAGTAGCATACCTTTCCTCTGTCCCTTTCTATCCTAATTAGATTTAAGGCTGAAATGATATCAACCAAATGCCTCGTTTGGTCTGGCACCTGCCCATTAGGAACAAACACCACTTGGTCCTGGTGAATGTATTTAGGTAGAAACAAGTTCAATCTATTATCCAAAATCTTAATCATTATTTTGAGATCAACATTTATGTCGTATTAACAATTCATTGCTTTATTTCACTTGTAGACTCCTATTGCTTATTAAAATTACCATAATAAAGGGTAAAAAGAGCAAATGTCATCACCTGCAGAAACGATCTCTTAAGAGAACACCATTGCGATGTTGCTCCCCACTCCTTGCAGTTATTTAACACTTCTGGTTGTGTGAAATCCTGCTGTCTCTCCAATAGGCAGTGTTTCCTCCTGGGGGCTTATATGTCACTCCAGGACATATGAAACAGCGGGAGGAACCACTACGTGCGACTGAGGAAGCAAGTATTTTAACACATCAGGTTGGTTTAATACTTGCGGCTCCAGGGGATCAAGTATTTGACCATATTTCAAGACATAGGCTACTAGAAAGATACATTTAGGGCCTCATCTTCCTGCAGGTATTGCTTATTTTGCCTTTTTGACTCAGTAGTGACAGGGTCACTTTAAGGTGGTTCTTATTTATTAACACATTTATACTTATGATTATGCTCCCTATCATTTCAGAAATTCAAGATTCGCATTGAAGATCCTCCTCGTCGTAAGCACATGGTATTCTTAGGAGGAGCTGTTTTAGCAGACATCATGAAAGACAAAGACAACTTCTGGATGACCCGGCAGGAATACCAGGAGAAGGGTGTGCGTGTGCTAGAGAAGCTCGGTGTGACTGTCCGATAAAATTCCACTGCCAGTTCCCATTGCTTCTCTAAAGCTTTCCTTATTTCCTCTATTGCCAATCTTTGAACTCATTCAGCTACATGACTTGGGAAGGCCTGTCTGTGCCCTTCTGGCCTATTTGGTCAGATTTTTTTTTTTTTTTTTTTTTTTTTTTTTTAATTTTGTCCCAATTTCTTGGGGAGGGGGAGCTTTGTTCAATGTTTAACGTGGCTAAATTTGACTTTAATTTGCCCATTTTCTTTACAAACACAAAGCTTCAGCTACAGAACTATCTGCTCCATTCTCTGTTGCACAGTAGGCTTTTTCACATAGTATGCTGCTTAAAGGCTGCTGGCTTTATCTTCTGCTCTCTCTCTGGGTGGTTTGGCTGCCTTTCCATTAAACAGATTCGTGAAATAGAAGTACATCCTGCGGAAGGCTAACGGTTCCCCACTGACCTCAATTTCTGCAACAAAATAAAAGTGTTTGTTTTTTGGGGGTTTGTTTTTTTGTTTTTTTTTTTTATACCTCCCTCCCACTCCACTTGGAACCCTCATTGCCAATCCACTTGCATAATTTGTTTTGTTTTTATCTTTTTAGTTTTAAGTTTGGATATGTTTATGGTACATTTCCTTGCGTTGTAGTGTGTATTGGATAGAGGTCCCCCACCCCACCCCCCTCTTTTCCTCCTGTACACTGTGGCCTAACGAAAGCACTTGTCCAGGCGATAAGGTCAGCTGCCAGTTCATTCCCAGAAACAACAACAAAGATTTAAAAGTTAAAACATGTATGTGATAATTTGATAATTTCTAAATATAGAGAATGGTATCTGTAAAGATAAAACTCTTGTTTGCTTGTCTTTATTTTCCTTTGAATTATTTTTTTTTTTTAGGAAGCACAGTGACTAAAATGCCTATTTGCCAGTGCCAATGAACTTTTCTTTTGACATGAATATTTCCAATAAGAAAATAAGAATTTATTAGTTATGTATGAGCAGTACCACAGTGTTATGCTGTTTCTGAAGATCCGTTGTTTTCCATAGAATGTACAGCATTATGTCAGTTTTATTCTGTGCAGGTCTATGCAGAGGAAGATGGGCTGTTACAGCAAGTGTTTCTGCATAGGTGTTAAGTGATGCAATAGACCTTTTGATGGTGGTTTGTGCTTTGCTGTAATGTCGAATTTCTTTCATTCTGCTATTGAGCATTTATTTCTTTGCAATCTGGAGCACAAAAGACACATCTGATCAAAGGTGAGCAATAAGATTAAAGGAGATTTTATCTAGCTGCAATCATTTTAGCTAGGTTATCTCTCAAAACAGGTGCAGAATGTCCCTTGAGGATTGAAATGATTGTTGAGTAAAGTCCTGTTATTAATGTTTCTTTGTAGCAGCAGCATCTGTGTTGTCTATGTTCTGTAACTGACTTCTGAACGGACAGGCAACAAACAGCTATCCCTGCCAGTCATAGGATACTTTAGCACATTTCTGTCAAGGCAGAGCTTACATAAGTTTGAGAGAACTAAAATACAAGAAGTGTGAAGTAAATTTGTGATGCGGTAGAGTAACACTTGAGAGGGTTACTGTGCTCAAACCTGGTATTTCAGTGTTGAATAGAAGCAGCAGCTTTTTATGTCTTCACCAAGGTTTCCGGTCCCACCTGCTGCAATCATTAGGATGGGGGTTTTCCTCCCTGCTGGGTTGTTCAACTATATTAATCTATGGAGAATAGAGTAGTAGAAGCAGGATTCCATGGTGTGATGAGGCCAAGATGTGAAATCTACTGGTAACCTCATGTCACTGGAGTCTTCAAGAGGTTTGGGATAGGGTAGGTATCCAGCTGGTGCTTTAAACAAGTGAACTACATTTGTAATTAAAATATCCATTAGGGTAAATCCTTGGGCTTGAAAATTGCACAGAATGAGTAGAGTGCTAGGAAGTTTATCGCACATTTAAAATCCTTTAATTCCTTCTAGTCATACTAAGCTGCTTGGTGTTACCAGTATGTATTTAGGTAGCGACCTAACTTTGATGTATCAAATATCACGTACACCCTCCCCAGCCTTGCTGTTAGGACCATGACAGTTGGAATGTTTTCTTTACTAAACATGTAAGGAATGCATGGCTGGTATAAGTATTTCTGGCGTTCCCACATATACATTAGGACCTTTCAGAAATCAGGGCCAAGAATTTTTGCATCTAGGTGGTTTTTCTTTTTTTTTTATTCCATAATTTCTATGTCATGACATTTTAAGGTAATTTTTAAACTAATTTGGAATAAATTGGTCATTTTACCTGAGCTCCTTGTCATCTTTCTGAGTTTGGAAACAACTGGCACTTGCTTTCTGGCATTTTGTCTTGATGGCAATGTAAAGAGGATTCATACAGCAAGTATTCACTCATTGTACACCCTAGTGTATTGGGGGTTGAATTCTATTGAACCTCACCCTCTGTAACCTGTGGACAGCTTCAGAAATCCAGAACATTTTCATCCCATAGCTCTTTGGTGGTTCTCTCTTCTCTGTTTGAGTCACTTTTGTGCTGAAAACAGAAAAGGACCTTCCACAAACTGTTACCTCAAAGTTGGAAGTCTAAAACCTCTTGGCAAGCTGTAGCATTAAAGCTGATCTCTGGGCACCAAAATTTACATTTAATGGTATTTCTCAATGGCCACAATGTATAAAGCCACTTTGGCTGCACCGAATGCCTTTTGGAAACACAGGTATTACCTTGCAAATGTAGCAATGACATAATCACTCTAGCCTGTACAGAGACCAGAGCTGTGGGAGGGGCCCAGTAGGCGCCACCAGCTACAGTATTCAGATACTGTAGTATCTGAATACTACAGTAAGGGGTGGAGACCAGACCAATCACCCTGCACAAGAGAGAGAGCAACAGTGACCAGTCTTTATTATAGCTCTTGCACAAAGACACAGTTTCACCCTGGATTACTGCACAGATCTAGAAGAAATACACAAAGCACACCAAGATGCACACATAAATATTCATGTCTCTTGTATTTAGACAATATTTGCTTATCCTGGAGTTCAGCTTTAACAGTGCCCTTCACTGAAAATATCTCCATTAATTTAGAGAGTTGTCCAAATACTTCTAGTATATATATGATGGTCAAGTGTCCACAAACTTTTGTATTTGCAACAAAATAGAGCCAGGATGGTGACATGATTTCTTTTTTTTTTTTTTTTTTTTTCTCTGTGCTGAATTTAAGCAATACAGGTAGGTCACTCCCTGCCTCTAGCCTGTGAATGGACAGAGAAAGCACTACTAGTTCCAGAATGTTCCCTGCCATTTTATATGCCCTGCAGTTTAACAGATTAGCCCTTACAGCACCCAGCGTGAGAACCACTGTGCATGGGATTAAAAGTGGCTGTTTCTAAGTCCAAATTAGATACTTGCTCTAGTTGCAAATATAAACTGCATTCTCTATTTTCGCCTAGACATCAGACAATGAAGAGAAAACCAGCACACTGAGAAGTAGTCTGAAGCAGGATTCACTGAAGTCCCATGTCGGCAAAAACTTTACACCAATGTTCTGAGAGCGTAGTGGTCTCCTTCCCCCCCCCCAAGGAAACAGATGTAACATTGGTGTAACTTTTCTTTTGCTGATATCGGACTTCATCAATCCAGCTTCAGAGTCCACTTCTTGGTGTGCTGGTTTTCTCTTCATTGCTGGATTTTGTACCACTATAAAGCCATGTATCCATCCTCCACAAGAGCTTACCTGGATGTCTGTGCAGTATGGTTGGATGAATTGTCTAGAAATCAGTCTAGTATTTATGAGGAAATATAGCACTTTAATCTTGTATCTCTTCCTCTCCTGTTGGTGGTGTGAAGCAGCAAGTGGTATCCATTACTCAACCCCAAGAAAATAATGATGTTTTCCATTAGAAAATAAGCCAACTTGCCAGGCTTTTTGCACTTTCAGGTGATGACTGTATTTTGCTTTGAGTAACTATTGAGTAGCTTTTAAGGAAATTCACCCAAGCTATTGTATTTGCACTTTGTCCGAGGCCAGGTACTGGAGCCTTCCGCACCAGACAGCAGAGAGTGGTTACAGGTACTGCTCTTCTTAGGTTGTACTCTGGTATACGTCTTTTTCTTTAAAGCAGAGTTCTGGCCATTTACATTTTTTATTTTTTCTAAAAGCACCCCGTGAGAGTGGCAGTCTCATGTTGTGACCGCTGTCATCGTTAGTGTGGGCACCTGAAACCCGCTGGGATATTCTTCCAGGAAAATGTGCAGCTGGGTACCCAGCATGCACCTCCTGATCTCGCGCCTGCAGTGTGAAGGCGCTTCGCTTTCCCTGTATTGATGCCTTTCATAGCAATGGTGGAAGTTCCCACCCTGTAGCCATGACAGCCATCAATTGCATTACTTCTGGACAGATTTCTACAATTTAAAGGTATTTAGGGTAAATATATATATATATAGCCAAACCGGAATGTCCTGAGGGTGACCATTGTATTTAAAAGTAGAAAAAAATAAAAAAAAAGGGCTAGAACTCCACTTTAAAAATTTTTTTTTTTTTTTTTTTTTTTTTTTTTTAGGAATTAGTGTTTTTTTGAGGTATCAATCAATTTTTTAAAGATGGCTATCACTGGATCCACACTAGAGGATTTCTAACTTATTCCTCTTCAAAGTTTTACTAAGCCCACAACAGTAAAATCTGTGTGTATATGCGGTAAAGCATGCTTGTTCTACTCACTGTGGAACCTAAGGGGTTAATCCTCTGCATTGTGTAAAAATGCTGTTTGATTCTGACTTCTCTGATCCTCCCCTTCTTCTAGTGTCCCCCTCTTATCTCCTGATAAGGCATATCGTGTGGAGATACTGCACATGCTCAATTTGGTGTATATTGCTATAGAGGTTTTTTTTTTTTTCTTGGGAGAATGCATGTGATCAGCACAGGGCCAATAAGCACTGCCAGGTCAGAGGTTCTGCATCCTCCTAGAGAAGACTGCTCGTACAAGCTTTAACCAGTGCTCTGCTGAACACTGATAGA